TGGCGCGCACGGCTGCTTTGCACCGTTCCCAGCGCCTGAGAGATTACAGAGAGCGCTCATTCGGGCAGCCTCTGTCTGCACAACGGCTGTCACACTGGCTGTGTGACCCCTAGATTCCACCGGGTCCGTCTGCGCCGGTAGCCTGTCCAGGAAATATGCCCAAATCAACAAAAACTGCGAGCCGGCAGGCAAGACGCTCCGCTTCTGAAATGCTTCTGAAACGCGCCTGGTAGGGTATGACGCCGGAGGAGGCCGGACCAAAACCGCGGCGCAGCCGTGACGCGGCGCAGACGGACCCGGTGGAATCTAGGGGTGAGGCTGGCATATGTCTCCTCTGGGGTGGATCCCCCGGGGAACATCAGTGCGCACTCCACCAGAGTGAGTGACGTCAGGGATCCAGCTGTGCGCTCTCCTGCCTGTCTGCACGCAGAGAGCTGCTCTTGTTCCCCTTCTTTTTATCGCTGGGGAAAGTGTGACCTTTGTCTCTACTTTCTCACAGCGGAAGGTTTGTATTGTTCCCAGCCTCGTCCCCTCATGGTAAATATTCATGTTATGATATATTCCAGGGACTGTGATGCGCCATTCGCATGGCGCAATAGGCATGGGTTGTTATCTGAGCAGGTGTGTCTGTGCTTCTTGTACCGGGCGGACCCAGTGGGGCGCAGACTACATCTTGCTTCGCCCTTAACCTAATAGCGATAACCTTAGAGGGCGAAGCCTATACTCATAGAACTGAAGTTACTGTAACTCCAGCTTCTATGAGTATTGGCGTAGCCCTCTAAGTTCTGGGCCCCACTGGCTCCACGAATAGCTGAAGACAAGTTGTTTGTGTGGGAGCAGATTGTCGGGCCTCCTTCCTATTTATATCGGAAGGGAGCCCGAGGGTGGGGCCCACCTTGCGGGCGGATGTGGACTACAAGTGTTTCAGTGCTGCGCGGGTGCGCAGGGGGATTACCCAATAGCGATAGCCTTAGAGGGCTACGCCAATACTCATAGAAGCTGCAGTTACAGTAGGTAACTTCAGTTCTTTGTTTTAACGCTTTCTCCCCCACGCAGAAACTCCCTGACCGTGCGCTGCTTCAACTGATCAAATCCCGCGCGGACAGTGGGTTTCCGTTTCCGGGAGGGTCGTCTCGAGGAGGGTCCCGTTCCAAACCGCCCGTTATACACAACACACACGCACACTAGTTGTGTGTGTGTGTGTGTGTGTGTGTGTGTGTGTGCGTGCGTGCGTGCGTGTGTGCGTGTGTGCGTGCGTGCGTGTGTGCGTGTGTGTGGTGTGTGTGTGTGTGTGTGTGTGTGTGTGTGTAGCGCTGGAGGAGCCGCAGTGCCTGGCTGTGGGTGTTTCTCTCAATGTCGAGGACGCTTCCTTAGTAGGGCATGTCTTCCGAGTCAGGTCCTTCAGAGGCTAGGCAACAATCCTTCCTAGCATTCGGAGAACAAAGAGTGGAGCAGGCTAGCAAGTGTGCAGGTGTGCGTCAGATGAGAGGCCCCGCCTTACATTGAGCGCGATGTGTTTGAAGACTCTTAACTGATTTGTGAAGATCTAAGATGTACTTGAGTAAGTGTATTTTGTAAAATGATCATCTCTCCAGGACAGAACCACTAAACTAACATAAAACCTTCTCCTGTTTGCAGCCTGGAGAAACTCCTGGAGGATAAGCAGCCATAAGACAATCATAAAATCGCCAATCAATAATAAAATGTGTATTCATATATCATACTTGATGTCAGCAAACCTTTTGTACACATATTGGTGCACATCGTAGCATAAACCACACATATTGGTGCGGTGTGTGTGTGTGTGTGTGTGTGTGTGTGTGTGTGTGTGTGTGTGTGTGTGTGTGTGTGTGTGTGTGTGTGTGTGTGTGTGTGTGTGTGTGTGTGTGTCAGGAAACACTGGGTGTTTCTCAATGTCGAGGAAGGCTCCTCCGGAGCCACTATTTCAAGGATGCTACGTCATCGAGTGGCGCCGAAGGACTGTTTAAATCAGGGGTGTCAAACTCAAATACATAGTGGGCCAAATTTAAAAATGGGTACGAGTCGAGGGCCGGACTGGTTCAATGTTTACTGCAAAACTTATTGAAATGAACTTATTGCACATATTAAACCTGGAACTAACACAGCTTTCATTTCAAACCTTTATTTAACCAGATTTGTCCCAGAGATCATAGATCTCTTTTTCAAGGGAGACCTGCTTCAGTTATTGCCTATAAAAACAACATCAAACATTAAATAATCAGTTGCATTATTTCTTATGGCTCTACAGTGCCTTGCAAAAGTATTCACCCCCCTTGCCATTTTTCCTATTTTCTTGCATTAAAACCAAAAATAATATAATATTTTTGGGGGGACAAGACCCCACACAAAGTCAGTCAAAATTGGTGAAGTGAAAGAAAAAAAGAGCACGTTTTAAAACATAACAAAACATTTAAAACTGAAAAGTGGTGTGTGCATATGTATTCACCCCCTTTGCTATTTAGCCCAAACAAAGACCTTCAGTCACACAGTTATTTAAATAAAGTTCACCTGTGTGCAATCAAGTGCCTCATTATCTCTAATTATTATATTAATTAATTATTATTATACAACTGTTGTAGAAGGCCTCCGTCTTCCATACCACAGCAAGTGGCCTTTCTAAGCAAGAAAACGACACCATGAAGACTAAAGAGCTCTCCAAACAGGTCAGGGACAAAGTTGTGGGAAAGTGTGAGAAAGGGTTGGGTTATAAAAACATCTCACAAACTTTGAACATCACGAAGCACCATTAAATCCATTATTTTAAAATGGAAAAGATATGCCACAACAACAAACCTGCCAAGAGAGGGCCGCCCACCAAAACTCTCACACCGTGCAAGGAGAGCATTGATCAGGCAACAAAGAGGCCGAGGGTAACCCTGAAGGAGCTGGTAAGCTCCACAGCAGAGAGAGGAGAATCTGTACATAGGACCACAGTAAGCCGTACACTCCACAGAGCTGGGCTTTATGGAAGAGACGCAAAACAAAATAAGAAAACATGTTGGAGTTCGCCAAAAGGCATGTGGAAGATTCCCCAAACATGTGGAAGAAGGTCCTGTGGTCGGATGAGACTCAAATTGAACTTTTTGGCCATCAAGGTAAACGCTATGTCTGGCGCAAATCCAACACCTCTGATCACCAACAGAACACCATCCCCACAGTGAAGCAAGGTGGTGGCAGCATCATGTTGTGGAGATGTTTCTCATCGGCAGGGACTGGGAAGCTGGTAAAAATAGAAGGAGTGATGAATGGAGCTAAATACAGGGACATACTTGAGGAAACTGTGTTTCAGTCTGCCAGAGATTTGAGGCTTGGGCAGAGGTTCACCTTCCAGCAGGACAATGACCCAAAGCATACTGCTAAAGCAACGCTAGAGTGGTTTAAGGGGAAACATGTAAACGTTTTGGAGTGGCCTAGTCAAAGCCCAGACCTTAATCCAATCGAAAATCTGTGGTATGACCTAAAGATGGCTGAACACGAGCGGAACCAGTCTAACCTGAAGGAGCTGGAGCAGTTTTGGCAAGAAGAATGGAAACAAATCCCAGTGGAAAGATGTGAAGCTCATAGACACATACCCCAAGAGACTTGCAGCTGTTATTGCTGCAAAAGGTGGCTCTACAAAGTATTGACTTTGGGGGGGTGAATAGTTATGCACACTCATGTTTTCTCTTTTTCATTATTATTTCTTGTTTGTTTCACAATAAAAAATATGTTTTGCATCTTCAAAGTTGTAGGCATGTTGTGTACATCAAATAATACAAATTCTCCAAAAATCTAATTAAATTAAATGTTTTAATGCAATAAAACAAGAAAAATGCCAAGGGGGGTGAATACTTTTACAAGTGCACTTATGTGCACTAATTTCTTATGAGTACATTTTTCCACAGGCCAACAACAGCTTAAAAAACAATTTCCCTCAAAGAAGAAAACAAACATCCCCTGTTGTCGTGAGAAACATAGTGCAGAAGGAAACATGTAAACTCAGTGTGCTGCTCTGTGATGCTAGTTCAGATACTTGGCATCTCATCTTGGGTGCAAGTTCATCAATGTTTGGGCTCAGGCTTTGAGCTGAGGAGACCCTCAGGATGGAGTGAAGGTGTGCGTGCAATATACCGGAGGGCCAGATCTAATAGCAATTACAAATTATCCTGCGGGCCGAAATTAAATTCACCAAGGGCCGGATTTGGCCCCCGGGCCTTGAGTTTGATACATGTGCTTTAAATGCATGTTAAATGCCCAGCATTCGGCGCCACTCGATGACGTAGCATACTTGGAATAGTGGCTCTGAAGGATCCTTCCTCGACTTTGAGAAACGGCCACCCAGTCACAGGGTGTTTCTCAATCGCGAGTAAAGCTGCTTCAGAGCCACTATTTCAAGCATACTATGTCATCGAGTGCTGCCGAAGTACTGTTCCAATCTCCAGCATACTTGGAAATCTACCGAGCCCGGCGTACTCCGTTTGGAGAAATATCGAGGCTGCACATGTGTAGACTCCGCGGTCTTAAAATCCCCACAATGCTTTGCGCACGGACCAATTTCCCCAAATCTGTGACGGAAAATGTAAGGCGGGGCCTCTCATATGACACACACCTGCACACTTGCTAGCCTGTTCCACTCTTTGTTTTCCGAATGCCAGGAAGTATTCTTGCCTCGCTTCTGAAGCAAGACGCTCGGCAGACATGTGCTACCAAGCAAGCGTACTCGCGATTGAGAAATACCCACTGATAAACCTTCCAGGTGTCATATCTTCTCACTGATGTCCCTTCCTGTTCCCTTGTGATGTCACTTCCTGTTCCCTCGTGATGTCACTTCCTGTTCCCTGGTGTTGTTTGAACCTGTTGAGTCTAGAAAATGGTTGTCTATAAAGTTGTGTTTATTTACAGACTGTTGCACAAACTAAGCAGCTAACAGCAAACATGTCCCCCATTGGGATCAATTCAGTTCTTTCTCATCTCTTTTAAACACATTCAAAACACAGAGCTTTTATTTTACTTATTGTATTTTTTATTTGTAATGAAAAGTTACAGCATTTCCTGTTTCCATTTAAATTCATTAATAAACAGTTTGTTTTGTATTCTTGTATTAACCCTTCACAGATCCTCTCTTGAGAAAAGAGGTCTCACTCTGCAGGGAAACACAGGACTGAAGCGTCAACTCTTTATTACCAACATCCATCAGACAGAGTGTGTGTGTGTGTGTGTGTGTGTGTGTGTTATTGAGCAGTGTGTCTCCTTGACAGCAGCATCTCTCTGATGTTGTCTTCAGCTTCTTTCACGCTGCGTTCAAGGTACACCTTCCTTTGCTGTGAAAACAAACACTCATTATTATTAACTATTACTGTGTATTTACTGTGTATTTACTGTGTATCTCAGTGTGTACTTACTGTGTATCTCAGTGTGTATTTACTGTGTATCTGTGTATCTCAGTGTGTATTTACTGTCTGGGTGTTTCTCAATCGCGAGTAAAGCTGCTTCAGAGCCACTATTTCAAGCATACTACGTCATCGAGTGCCGCCGAAGTACTGTTCCAATCTCCAGCATACTTGGAAATTTACCGAGCCCGGCGTACTCCGTTTGGAGAAATATCGAGGCTGCACATGAGTAGACTCCGTGGTCTTAAAATCCCCACAATGCTTTGCGCACGGACCAATTTCCCCAAATCTGTGGCGGAAGATGTAAGACGGGGCCTCTCATATGACGCACACCTGCACACTTGCTAGCATGTTCCACTCTTTGTTTTCCAAGTGTCAGGAAGTATTCTTGACTCGCTTCTGAAGCAAGATGCTCGGCAGACATGTGCTACCAAGCAAGCATACTCGAGATTGAGAAACGGCCCGTATCTCAGTGTGTATTTACTGTGTATCTCAGTGTGTATCTCAGTGTGTATTTACTGTGTATCTCAGTGTGTATTTACTGTGTATCTCAGTGTGTATTTACTGTGTATCTCAGTGTGTATTTACTGTGTATCTGTTTATCTCAGTGTGTATTTACTGTGTATCTCAGTGTGTATCTCAATGTGTATCTCAATGTGTATTTACTGTGTATCTCAGTGTGTATTTACTGTGTATCTCAGTGTGTATTTACTGTGTATTTACTATGTATCTCAGTGTGTATCTACTGTGTGTATTTACTGTGTATTTCAGTGTGTATCTACTGTGTATTTACTGTGTATCTCAGTGTGTATTTATTGTGTATCTCAGTGTGTATATCAGTGTGTATTTTCTGTGTATCTCAGTGTGTATTTTACTGTGTATCTGTGTATCTCAGTGTGTATTTACTGTGTATCTCAGTGTGTATTTACTGTGTATCTCAGTGTGTATTTACGGTGTATCTGTGTATCTCAGTGTGTATTTACTGTGTATCTCAGTGTGTATCTCAATGTGTATTTACTGTGTATCTCAGTGTGTATTTACTATGTATCTCAGTGTGTATCTACCAGAGGTGGGACCAAGTCATTGTTTTGCAAGTCCAAGTCAAGTCTCAAGTCTTTGCGCTCAAGTCCAAGTCAAGTCTCAAGTCAGGATGGGAAAGTTCAAGTCAAGTCCAAGTCCTAAACTTTGACAAAACGAGTCTTAAACAAGTCCTTATGTGCTTTTCAACAAATGTAATGACATCGATCAACAGAATAATACTTAATGATCAAACTGCTCTTTATTAGTCACATTAATAATTTAATAATCAATTTTCTCTCTGCTGGTAAAGTAACGTGTTTTTCTTCTATTGTAAGAGGGATCAGTAAGGTAAGGCTACCGTCAAGTCGAGTCCAAAGTCATCAAATTGGTGACTCGAGTCTGACTCGAGTCTCAGTGTGTATTTACGGTGTATCTCAGTGTGTATTTGTACCTCAAGCTCTTTAATTTTCTCATCAGCTGTTTTCTGTTTGTCCATCAGCTGATTGTTGATGTCCTCCTTCGATTGAAGAATGAACCTGACACACACACACACACACACACACCACACACACACCACACACACACACACACACACCACACACACACACACACACACACACACCACACACACACACGACACACACACACACACACACACACACACACACACACACACACACACTACACCACACACACACACACACACACACACACACACACACACACACACACACACACACACACACACACACAACACACACACCCCACACACACACACACACACACACACACACACACACACACACACACACACACACACACACTAATTATTTGATAGTAAACATTGATTTCAGATGTGAATAGAAGATCTCTGCTCCTCACATGCGTCCCACTCCCTCGTAGAGTCGCGTGCTGGAGGACAGCGGGGAGATCTCGGCGCTCGTTAGCTTAGCGAGTTTCTGCACGCGAGTCAGCTGATCGATCTGCAGGTCGGAGAGCTTCGCCTTCTGCTGGGTGTCGAGCATCTTCACCTGCAGCTCAGAGAAGGCCTACAAACAAGAGGGATCACTGATCAGAACACCTGGACAGAGAGGTATCACTCTGATCAGAGAGGTATCACTCTGATCAGAGAGGTATCACTCTGATCAGAACACCTGAGCAGAGAGGTATCACTCTGATCAGAGAGGTATCACTCTGATCAGAACACCTGAGCAGAGAGGTATCACTCTGATCAGAGAGGTATCACTCTGATCAGAACACCTGGACAGAGAGGTATCACTCTGATCAGAACACCTGATCAGAGAGGTATCACTCTGATCAGAACACCTGAACAGAGAGGTATCACTCTGATCAGAGAGGTATCACTCTGATCAGAACACCTGAACAGAGAGGTATCACTCTCGGATGATATATATATATAATGACCTGTATAATTACGTGTATATTCACCTGTATAATCTCGTGTATTTTATATATCTGCAGTATTTATGAGCACGTGTTCAGATACCGCCCTCTTCTTCTCTGCTGTTAAATGTGTAGCTTTGCTAGCGTGTGTTAGCTCCTCATGCTAACAGCTGATGCTCGCGCTGCTGATAAACCCTCTCACCGGAAGTTGAGTGAACCAACAGGTGACCTCAGGTATCTCAGAGTGCACCACGTGTACATGTTGTGCGTTAATATGTGTTATATAGTTCATATAATGAATATACAAGAGATTGCTCACCTTCTTCAGCTCCAAGTCGATAGACATCTTCACTCAGAATTACACTGCGCATGCGCAGCTGCTTCTTCTGTGGTTTCACTGTTGGACTACCCACTGCCGCCCCCTGCCGGAAGTACATTTACCTCAATGTGATTTACTGTGTTTCCGTTTCATTTCATGGTTATTTATCAAATATATGACATACAACGTAAAATAATTATATATATATATATATATATATATATATATATATATATGTGATGGTGTAATGTAGAGCGTGTAGTGCTGAGAGAAGGGAGTCGGAGGCGGTGCATCGAAGGTGCAAAGTTGGTTTTATTGAGCAGCAGAAAACCACATGTTGCCGGCTTGAAGTCCGGGAAGAGAAGGGAAGAAGAGAAAGGAGGGCACACAGTAGGTACACAGGAGGTACAGTCAACATGTGTGTCCGTGCGGAACAATTCCCCCAACCTGTAGTTCCATGAGTGAATTATGATAAAGAGTGATCACTACACAAGCCCCCCCAGAATTCAAACATGGACACAATCCTCGCGACCAGGAGGAAGCACCACAGGGGCCGAGGAGGGTGGGGCCGCAGGCGAGGGCCAGGCCATGGAACGGGCTGTCGGAAGGAGGCCGCAGGAGAGGGCAGGGGCCCAACGAGGGCGAGGGCACCCCCACCGGGGGGTGGGGGGCGGGCCACGGAACGGGCCGTCGTAAGGGGGCCGCAGGGGCCGTGGTAGGCGTCGTGGCGAATGAAGAAAACATCCGCCAGCCGTAGAAAGCTGGGTCGCTGTGCGACGTGGGGACGGGCGTGAATATCCCGGTGGTCCCCAGCAGGGAGGAGCGCAGCCCGGCCGCAGGCGAGTGCGCAGCGGCGGCGGGCACAAAGTCCTTGGGAGGAATGAGCGGTCTCCCCGGAAGGAAGGAGCCGTGGACAGGGGAGAGGCGAGATGGGGTCCAGAAGTGCGCCACTCAGGCACCGATGACAGCGTGGGCGACGTCCGAAGCCGCCGTCGAGGCGAACCGTGAGCCGCGGTTAGAGGAGAGGCCAGGCAGGGTCCAGAAGTGCGCCACCCACGGGCCGATGAAGGCGTGGGCGACGTCCGAAGCTGTCGCCGAGGCGAGGAAAAAGGCCAGACAGGGTCTCGAAGTGCGCCACCCAGGCGCCGATGAAAACGTGGGCGACGTCCGAAACCGCCGTCGAGGTGGCGAAAAAGCGAGAGGGTCCACACGAGGCCGACCAGACATGATCGAACCTCCTCACCACCAAAAAGAGTTAACAGTCAGATGTTAACAGATGGACGAAGTCAGCCATTAGCCGCTAGCCGTTAGCTGTCAGTCATCGTTAGCTGCTAGCCGTTGTTAGCCGTTAGTCGTCGTTGTTAGCCGTTAGCTGTTAGCCGTTGTTAGCCATTAGCTGTCGTCGTTTGCCGTTAGTCGGCGTTAGCCGTTAGCCGTTGTTAGCCGTTAGCTGTTAGCCGTTGTCGACGGCCGTTAGCTGCAAGCCGGTAGCCGTTATTCAATGTCGTCGGCCTCGGAGCCTCCGCTAGGCGGCGTGCCCCTACCAGGGAAGGTGCCGCTGCGTGTCGGGGCCAGCACCTCAGGGGTAAATCGCCGGGCGGCCAGGAAGAACCGGTCAGCTTCTTCGGCTAAAGCGCGGTTTAAACCAATTTAATTAAATGTGTTTGTTAAATTCGGCAACCCCCACTTGATAATTCTCGATCGTTGGCACGCTGATAACAATTTCTTTTTTTAATGGCACTTCATATCAAAAAGGTTGCCGACCCCTGCTCTAGACATTGTTCCGGTTTCTGGCAGACATGTCTCTTCAATCTTCAGTGATGGTCAACCAGCCAGGAAAAGCTTATGCCAAGGTACTCAAAGGAAGATCTGACCAATTGTATTGAGCATCTTGCTGTCGTGCTTAGCTGTCCCCCTTTGTTAGAAGCATCCTTATACTTCCTGTACACAGTAAAACCATTTACTTCTGAAAGGATTCATGAAAAGGTGTCAGAGGCCTCGGTGTGGTGAGGCAAGTTCCTTTAGCTTTCACACACACACACACACACACACACACACACACACACACACACACACACACACACACACACACACACACACACACACACACACACCTTGGAGGTGCAGTGCAGGCATTTTGTCATGCGTAGTTCTTTTGGAAAACATGTTTTTCTTGTAGCCTATTTACCTCGTTAACGTAAATAATACTCATTACATTGACACATGCATTATTTGTGATTAAAGTAATGGTTGTTGGTAATGTATTAGCGACCCCCCCCCCCCCCCCCCCCCCCAGATGTATGATTTCACTGCATTCATAGGAGCTCAGCTCCCATTGGCTCCCACAGAACTCGAACCCTGACCATATATATATATATATATATATACATATAATATGTGTATAAGTAATAATGTATCTTCCAGAATCCTCACATATAACATTAAATATTAACTCCAGTATATTTGTTTGTATTATTGTTTATATTTATTAATGCTTTAAATTCATTAAGCATCGAACATTATTCTTTGTTTATTCCAACAGGGTTTTTCAAAGATGTTTTTCCTTGCATGGCCTCAGATCTACTTCATATAGTAAACACATCTCTTCACTCAGGTATTTTTCCACAGGCCCTGAAAACTGCAGACATTAAACCGCTCTTAAAAAAGAATAATCTAGATGCTTCAGTAATGAACAATTACAGGCCCATATCAAACCTGCCATTTCTAGGTAAAATCATTGAAAAAGTTGTATTTCAACAGTTGAGTAACTTCTTGCATTTAAATAACTGTTTGGATGTGTTCCAGTCAGGATTTCGTCCAAACCACAGCACTGAGACTGCTCTTGTAAAGGTCTTCAATGACATCCACTTAAACACAGACAGTGGCAGAACTTCAGTGTTAGTATTGTTAGATCTCAGTGCTGCGTTTGACACTGTTGACCACAACATATTACTAGACCGACTAGAAAACTGGGTGGGACTTTCGGAAACAGTTCTAAATTGGTTTGAGTCCTACTTAAAGGACAGACAAAACTTTGTTTCTATAGGTAAATACACATCTGAGTTGACAAATATGACATGTGGGGTACCTCAAGGCTCCATCTTGGGGCCTCTTCTCTTTAACATCTACATGCTACCACTGGCTCAGATAATGAAAAACAACTAAATAAGTTACCATAGCTATGCGGATGACACACAAATTTACGTAACCATTTCACCAGGAGACTATGCTCCAATTCAAACACTGAGTAAGTGCATTGAACAAATCAATGAGTGGATGTGTCAGAACTTTCTCCAATTAAACAAAGTGAAAACTGAGGTAATGGTTTTTGGAGCCAAGGCAGAACGTATAAAAGTTAGCGCTGAGCTTCAGTCTGAATTTCAACAACAGATAAAGCCTGAAATCTAGGTGTAGTCATGGACTCTGACCTGAGTTTCAACAGTCACATTAAAACAGTTACTAAATCATTCTATCACCTAAAGAATATATCTAGGATTAAAAGACTAATGTCACAGCAGGATCTGGAGAAACTTGTCCATGCTTTTATCTTCAGTAGACTCGACTACTGCAATGGTGTCTTCACAGGTTTCACTAAAAAATCTATTAGAAAGCTTCAGCTGATTCAGAACGCTGCTGCTCGAGTCCTCACTGACACTAAGAAAGTGGATCACATCACTCCTGTTCTGAAGTCTTTACACTGGTTCCTCACTAACACTAAGAAAGTGGATCAGTCCTGTTCTGAAGTCCTTACACTGGCTTCCTGTGTGTCAAAGAATATATTTCAAAATACTGCTGCTGGTTTATAAAGCTTTGAATGGTTTAGGCCCAACATACATGTCTGACCTGCTGCTAAATTATGAACCATCCAGATCTCTCAGGTCTCAAGCTGAACTTTTCTTTTTGCCGCTGCTTTTAATTGAACTATTCACATCTTAAACTGCACTGTAACTTTTATCCATGTATTTTTTCTTTTAATGTTTCTTTTATTATCTTGTCTTCTTAATGAATGTTTTTAAATGCCTTGGTCTGAATGTCTTTCATTTTTGTAAAGCACCTTGTATTGCCTTGTGTTGAAAGGTGCTATATAAATAAACTTGCCTTGCCTTAATAATATAAAGTTATTTTAACTGAAGAGTTTAATTTATAATAGTTTTTGTTTTGGACACCAAAGAAGGACAACGTGCTTTTAAATAAACAAAGTAGTTATTTATTAACAACAACATGTTCCAGGTGCTGCAGAAGCTGTTACCATGGATACCAGAAAAACACTAATAAACAACAACAAACAGTAAACAAAAAAATACGCTTTAATTCCCCCGGAAACACACCATGATGTCATCTGTTGTTGTTGTGGTGATGTCATATGTTGTTGTAATGATGTCATCAGTTGTTGTTGTGGTGATGTCATCAGTTGTTGTTGTGGTGATGTCATCAGTTGTTGTTGTGGTGATGTCATATGTTGTTGTAATGATGTCATATGTTGTTGTTGTGGTGTTGATGTCATCTGTTGTTGTTGTTGTGATGTTGATGTCATCTGTTGTTGTTGTTGGGGTTCTGGACGAAGTTGATGGAGTAGGACCCGGTCTGAGCGTCCTGGTTCATCTGGAAGTTGTTTGTTGAAAGTCCAAACGGCCTCAGAACCAGGTTCCCCAGGTCCTTCAGTTTACCTGCAGCCACAGCAACACACACATAAACAACAACAACAACAACATCTCTGATCAACATGGGCTGTTATTGTGAAGATACAGCGTCTCATTCTGGGCTTTTATTGTGAAAACGCTCTTTAAGCCTCTCTGACTAGTTAAATGATTGATGAGTTAATGAGCTGTGTACTGTCCCTTTAAGGTGGTGTGTTCAGGTGCAGTTAATGAGCTGTGTACTGTCCCTTTAAGGTGGTGTGTTCAGGTGACGTTAATGAGCTGTGTACTGTCCCTTTAAGGTGGTGTGTTCAGATGACGTTAATGAGCTGTGTACTGTCCCTTTAAGGTGGTGTGTTCAGGTGCAGTTAATGAGCTGTGTACTGTCCCTTTAAGGTGGTGTGTTCAGGTGACGTTAATGAGCTGTGTACTGTCCCTTTAAGGTGGTGTGTTCAGGTGCAGTTAATGAGCTGTGTACTGTCCCTTTAAGGTGGTGTGTTCAGGTGACGTTAATGAGCTGTGTACTGTCCCTTTAAGGTGGTGTGTTCAGGTGACGTTGATGAGCTGTGTACTGTCCCTTTAAGGTGGTGTGTTCAGGTGCAGTACGAACCCATCATCTCCTCCTTCAGCTTCTCATTCCTCTCCTGAATCTGCTGCGGCAACCTCTGAGAGACAGACAGGCAGAGAGAGACAGAGACAGACAGACAGGCAGAGAGAGAGACAGGCAGACAGACAGACAGACAGAGAGAGAGAGACAGAGAGAGAGAGAGAGAGACAGACAGACACAGAGAGACAGACAGAGAGAGAGAGAGAGACAGACAGACAGACAGAGAGACAGAGAGAGAGAGAGACAGACAGACACAGAGAGACAGACAGAGAGAGAGAGAGAGAGAGAGAGACAGACCGACAGACAGACAGACAGAGAGAGACAGGCAGAGAGACAGACAGAGAGAGAGACAGAGAGAGAGAGAGAGACAGAGAGACAGACAGAGAGACAGGCAGAGAGACAGACAGAGAGACAGACAGATAGCTGTGAGATACTCCTTAATGCTGCTTTTAGGAAATGGAAGTTGGGTTCTGGACTGGGAGTGACTGCGTTCCAGTAGCATCACCTGGGGTTAGCCATTGTTAGCATCACCTGGGGTTAGCCATTGTTAGCATCACCTGGGGTTAGCCATTGTTAGTGGGTGCAGTGTTTCCCACAGATCTGAAATATACTTGTGGTTGTAGCCGAGAACGGGAGAACGGGGGGTTAGGGGGGTTCTCTTAAAGCTCACATGTGGAGAGTTTACTACTTTTCCACCACAGGGGGCCAGTTCAGATCTCCACTGGGAACTCTGATATTCCATTAGCTTAGCTTCAGGTTAATTAGCTTAGCATCAGTCTCTCACCATGCAGGGTTAGGGTTACAGTACAGGTGCAGCATTAGCTTAGCATCAGGTTCATTAGCTTAGCATCAGTCTCTCACCATGCAGGTGCTCCGTGCGGCCCTCTGCTTGGGGTCCAGCTCCAGAACTCTTTTGTAGTAAGGGTTAGCTTAGCATCAGTGTCTCACCATGCAGGGTTAGGGTTACAGTACAGGTGCAGCATTAGCTTAGCATCAGCCTCTCACCATGCAGGCGCTCCGTGCGGCCCCCTGCTTGGGGTCCAGCTCCAGAACTCTTTTGTAGTCCTCGAACGCCTCGTCCAGTTTCTCCGTCTGCTCCTGAAGCTCCGCCCTCCTCAGCAGCGCCCGAACATAGTCAGGATTCAGATCGATCGCTACGACAACCACAGGCAACCAATCAGCAACCAATCAGAAAACTCAACTGTTAACAGGTTAAAGGTGGGGTAGGTAATTTTGGAGAAACCAGCGCGAGTGCGCTAGAATTTGAAAATACACAGCCGGAAGAAATCTGCTACTTCCTTACAGAGCCCCTCCTCCAACACACACGAACGCGCACATGACCAATGAGGGCACGAGATAAGTTTGTGCACAGATGGAAGGCTGACAGGCAGGTAGGTCATCCAGTTATTTTAGCCGGGCCGGCTAAAATGATTGGTCGTGCTTTTTACAGTATTACGGCTTCCACAGATGACATTTTTTTTATGGATTTTTTGTCAAAGCACTTAAGATATTCATTGCTATCGGGATGTTAAGAGCATTCCATGGAATATAACAAAAAGTGTATCTCGAGCCGGTTTCTCAAACTTACCTACCCCACCTTTAATAATGGTGTCATCACTCACCTCTGGTGCAGTCTGAGATCGCCTTATCCTTCAGATCCTGAAAAGAGAGACAGTTAGCATCGTATCGCATGTTAGCCTGGACTTAGCCTGGAGCTAGATACCAGGGGGGTATACTACGAAGCAAGATTTTCGTTTAGCAAGCTAACTTCAGGGGTTTCCGGTCCTACGAAGCTGGTTCAACTTTTTAGCAGGCTAGATAACTTATTCTGAACGGCTAGCCTCCGGAGCAGGATAGGTTCCAGGATAAAAGCACTGCCTGCTGACCAATCAGAGCTCAGTGTGCGGAGTTTAAAGCGATCAATTCATATGACAGGAGGAGAAAGGAAATACAGAAAAACTGCCGTTGCAGGAAAGACGGCCGGCCAAAATCACCGACTGTGTGAACGTGAAAATGAATAGAATATCCCCTCCCATCTTCAGAGCAATCTGACTATTATAACATTAGCGTTAAGAAAGCTTACTTAAATATCTGCCACAACATAAGTAACCGGATCAAAGTAACATTACGTAGCCTACAGTCCGCGGCACTGTGAGTGCAGACGTCGATGTGTCCCATTATCATTCATATCACATGATATCACATCATAATGTATCATATATTTCCTTATCTGAGTCAGCTTCTTGAGCCGTATCTGGCGTGCAACACTCACAGTGTCACATACTGTATGCAGAAGTATTATTTTAAGCAACACATTAAGTTGACGAAACACTCGAGTCAAATGTAATTAAAGTCAGATCTACTCGTGTCTTGGACGGGGCAGTGATATCATAAAACTGTTAATGAACGTATTCAAACACTTTTTCTTTTACCAGCAGTATTCACCTTGCAGGTGCAGCTATGTGGCTTTTATCCTGGATAAAGTGTTTAAGTCATGGATGTTTAAAGTTTAACGTCTTCATATTTGTCTAATATTAGTTGACTTTTCATTCAGGAAATATATGACGCGCTGCGCTGTCAATACACGGCTTGTCCATGTTTGTGATTGGTCGAATGCTCCAAATACCACCCCTTTTATGTGAACGCGCACCTAACTAGATAGGACACGGCTGGCTTGAGCGATCGAGTTGATAGCCAGCGTCGTAGGACCGTTTAGCGAGAGCGTTTTTTTTTTTGGATTTAGTCAACCGGATAACTCAAAACATATCCAGGATATGTTGAACTAGATTCGTAGTATACCCCCCTGGGGCCTATACTACGAATCAAGATTTTCGTTTAGCAAGCTAACTTCAGGGGTTTCCGGTCCTACGAAGCTGGTTCACTTCTTAGCGGGCTAGATAACTTATTCTGAACGGCTAGCCTCCGGAGCAGGATAGGTTCCAGGATAAAAGCACTGCCTGCTGACCAATCAGAGCTCAGTGTGCGGAGTTTAAAGCGATCAATTCATATGACAGGAGGAGAAAGGAAATACAGAAAAACTGCCGTTGCAGGAAAGACGGCCGGCCAAAATCACCGACTGTGTGAACATGAAAATGAATAGAATATCCCCTCCCATCTTCAGAGCAATCTGACTATTATAACATTAGCGTTAAGAAAGCTTACTTAAATATCTGCCACAACATAAGTAACCGGATCAAAGTAACATTACGTACAGTCCGCGGCACTGTGAGTGCAGATGTCGATGTGTCCCATTATCATTCATATCACATGATATCACATCATAATGTATCATATATTTCCTTATCTGAGTCAGCTTCTTGAGCCGTATCTGGCGTGCAACACTCACAGTGTCACATACTGTATGCAGAAGTATTATTTTAAGCAACACAAGAAACACTCGAGTCAAATGTAATTAAAGTCAGATCCACTCGTGTCACGGCAGCAGTGATATCATAAAACTGTTAATGAACGTATTCAACCACTTTTTCTTTTACCAGCTGTATTCACCTTGCAGCTGCAACTATGTGGCTTTTATCCTGGATAAAGTGTTTAAGTCATGGATGTTTAAAGTTTAACGTCTTCATATTTGTCTAATATTAGTTGACTTTTCATTCAGGAAATATATGACGTGCTGCGCTGTCAATACACGGCTTGTCCATGTTTGTGATTGGTCGAACACTCCAAATACCACCCCTTTTATGTGAACGCGCACCTAACTAGATAGGACACGGCTGGCTTGAGCGATCGAGTTGATAGCCAGCGTCGTAGTACCGTTTAGAGAGAGCGTTTTTTTTTTGGATTTAGTCAGCCGGATAACTCAAAACATATCCAGGATATGTTGAACTAGATTCGTAGTATACCCCCCAGGTGCAGTTAGCATGCAGCTAGTTAGTGCAGTTAGCATGTAGCTAGTTACCAGGTGCAGTTAGCATGTAGCTAGTTACCAGGTGCAGTTAGCATGTAGCTAGTTACCAGGTGCAGTTAGCATGTAGCTAGTTACCAGGTGCAATCTTGCAGCAGCTCTGTTGGAGAACAGCACAGATCTCTCTCTGCTGAAACTGACGGGACACAAACACAGAGCCTCGGTGTAGCAGCGCTGCGCCTCCTGCCATTCTGAGGAGCACAGGACATACTGGTTACACACTGGTTACGTACTGGTTACATACTGGTTACATACTGGTACTCTTTTTTAGTACTGGTGATATGCTGGTACTCTGATTTTAGTACTGGTGATATACTGGTACTCTGATTTGAGTACTGGTGATATGCTGGTACTCTGGTGATATACTGGTGATATACTGGTAGTACTCTGATTTTAGTACTGGTGATATATATATAGAAATGTATTTATTGGGATAAACCCCTTGAGATGCACCATCTCGTTTTCAAGGGGGTCCCGACAATAGCAACAACTTGCAGACATACATAAACAAAAAGACAAAAAGCAAAACATGACACACAAGACAAACCACGTACAGTCTGTTAAGTAACATTCAAGTAATTCATACAATCATTACAATCATTAGAATTTGAGAGACAGTCGAGCAGATCAGTTTCATCAATAACCAGTGCAGAGCAGTTGAAAGTGAGATGATAATGTTTGAACATACCCAATGATGCAAGAGATCTAATAGCAGCAGGTATTCCAGTCTGTTGGGGCTTTGAACATGAACGCTCTTCTGACAATACATTGCAGAGGGGACAGAGAAATACATCTGGACAGAGTGTCTAACTTGATGATTTGGCGAGTAGGGTACAAAATACTGCTTTAAATAAGGGGGATAGTTAAGATAAATGCATTTACATATCAGCTGAAGCCAATGCGTGTGTCTTCTTACATTTAATGAAGGCCATTTAAGTTGGTTATACATTGTGCAGTGATGTGTAAGAAAAGGACAACCAAGAACAAATCTGCACAGTCTATTGTAGGCTATGTTGAGTGGAGCAAGATCTGATTTATGTGCATTTTGGTAGACAACATCACAATAGTCCATAATCGGAAGAATAAGTTGAGAAGCAATTCTCTTTCGGACACTGAGCGTAAAACAATTGCGAGAGCGGTGTAAGACATCGATTCCGTAATTGACTTTTTGTATTACATGCTTTATATGTAGTTTATATGTATATATATATATACTGGTACTCTGGTGATATACTGGTGATATACAGGTACTCTGGTGATATACTGGTGATATACTGGTGATATACAGGTACTCTGGTGATATACTGGTACTCTGGTGATATACTGGTGATATACAGGTACTCTGGTGATATACAGGTACTCTGGTGATATACTGGTTTTATACAGGTACTCTGGTAATACACAGGTACTCTGATTTTAGTACTGGTGATATACTGGTACTCTGGTGATATACAGGTACTCTGGTGATATACTGGTACTCTGGTGATATACTGGTACTCTGGTGATATACAGGTACTCTGGTGATATACTGGTACTCTGGTGATATACTGGTACTCTGGTGATATACTGGTACTCTGGTGATATACTGGTACTCTGGTGATATACAGGTACTCTGGTGATATACTGGTGATATACTGGTACTCTGGTGATATACAGGTACTCTGGTGATATACTGGTACTCTGGTGATATACTGGTACTCTGGTGATACTGGTGATGTCTCCCGTACCTCCGGCTTTGAAGTGTGTGTTTCCGGCCTCCTTCAGACTGAAGCTCTCCTGCCGACGGCTCTGAAACAGAACACTGTTATTATCCCAGAGTAAACAAAGTTACAGAGTAGACAAAGTTACAGAGTAAACAAAGTTAAACAGTAAACAAAGTTACAGAGTAAACAAAGTTACAGAGTAAACAAAGTAAACAAAGTAAACAAAGTAACAGAGTAAACAAAGTTACAAAGTAAACAAAGTTACAGAGTAAACAAAGTTACAGAGTAAACAAAGTAACAGAGTAAACAAAGTTACAAAGTAAACAAAGTAACAGAGTAAACAAAGTTACAAAGTAAACAAAGTAAACAAAGTAACAGAGTAAACAAAGTTACAAAGTAAACAAAGTTACAGAGTAAACAAAGTAAACAAAGTAACAGAGTAAACAAAGTAAACAAAGTAACAGAGTAAACAAAGTTACAAAGTAAACAAAGTTACAGAGTAAACAAAGTAAACAAAGTTACAGAGTAAACAAAGTAAACAAAGTTACAAAGTAAACAAAGTTACAGAGTAAACAAAGTAAACAAAGTAACAGAGTAAACAAAGTAACAGAGTAAACAAAGTTACAAAGTAAACAAAGTTACAGAGTAAACAAAGTAACAGAGTAAACAAAGTTACAAAGTAAACAAAGTTACAGAGTAAAACAAAGTTACAGAGTAAACAAAGTAAACAAAGTAAACAAGTTACAGAGTAAACAAAGTTACAGAGTAAACAAAGTTACAGAGTAAACAAAGTAAACAAAGTAAACAAAGTTACAGAGTAAAACAAAGTAAACAAAGTAACAGAGTAAACAAAGTTACAAAGTAAACAAAGTTACAGAGTAAACAAAGTAAACAAAGTTACAGAGTAAACAAAGTAAACAAAGTTACAAAGTAAACAAAGTTACAGAGTAAACAAAGTAAACAAAGTTACAAAGTAAACAAAGTTACAGAGTAAACAAAGTAAACAAAGTTTACAGAGTAAACAAAGTAACAAAGTAAACAAAGTTACAAAGTAAACAAAGTTACAGAGTAAACAAAGTTACAGAGTAAAACAAAGTAAACAAAGTAACAGAGTAAACAAAGTTACAGAGTAAACAAAGTTACAGATTAAACTAGTTTACAAAGTAAACAAAGTTACAAAGTAAACAAAGTTACAGAGTAAACAAAGTTACAGAGTAAACAAAGTTACAAAGTTACAGAGTAAACAAAGTTACAAAGTTACAGAGTAAACAAAGTCACAAAGTAAACAAAGTTACAGAGTAAACAAAGTTACAAAGTAAACAAAGTTACAAAGTAAACAAAGTTACAGAGTAAACAAAGTTACAGAGTAAACAAAGTTACAAAGTTACAAAGTTACAGAGTAAACAAAGTTACAGAGTAAACAAAGTTACAGAGTAAACAAAGTTACAAAGTTACAAAGTTACAGAGTAAACAAAGTTACAGAGTAAACAAAGTTACAGAGTAAACAAAGTAAACAAAGTAAACAAAGTTACAAAGTAAACAAAGTTACAGAGTAAACAAAGTAAACAAAGTTACAGAGTAAACAAAGTAAACAAAGTTACAAAGTAAACAAAGTTACAGAGTAAACAAAGTTACAGAGTAAACAAAGTTACAAAGTTACAGAGTAAACAAAGTTACAAAGTAAACAAAGTTACAGAGTAAACAAAGTTACAGAGTAAACAAAGTTACAAAGTAAACAAAGTTACAAAGTAAACAAAGTTACAGAGTAAACAAAGTTACAGAGTAAACAAAGTTACAGAGTAAACAAAGTTACAAAGTTACAAAGTAAACAAAGTTACAGAGTAAACAAAGTTACAAAGTAAACAAAGTTACAGAGTAAACAAAGTTACAGAGTAAACAAAGTTACAAAGTAAACAAAGTTAAAGAGTAAACAAAGTTACAGAGTAAACAAAGTAAACAAAGTTACAAAGTAAACAAAGTTACAGAGTAAACAAAGTTACAAAGTTACAAAGTAAACAAAGTTACAGAGTAAACAAAGTTACAGAGTAAACAAGTTAACAAAGTACAAAGTAAACAAAGTTACAGAGTAACAAAGTAAACAAAGTTACAGAGTAAACAAAGTAAACAAAGTTACAGAGTAAACAAAGTAAACAAAGTTACAAAGTTACAGAGTAAACAAAGTTACAGAGTAAACAAAGTAAACAAAGTTACAAAGTAAACAAAGTTACAAAGTTACAGAGTAAACAAAGTTACAGAGTAAACAAAGTTACAAAGTAAACAAAGTAAACATAGTTACAGAGTAAACAAAGTTACAGAGTAAACAAAGTAAACAAAGTTACAAAGTTACAGAGTAAACAAAGTTACAAAGTTACAGAGTAAACAAAGTTACAAAGTAAAACAAAGTTACAGAGTAAACAAAGTTACAGAGTAAACAAAGTTACAAAGTAAACAAAGTTACAAAGTAAACAAAGTTACAAAGTAACAAAGTTACAGAGTAAACAAAGTAAACAAAGTTACAGAGTAAACAAAGTTACAAAGTTACAAAGTAAACAAAGTTACAGAGTAAACAAAGTTACAAAGTAAACAAAGTTACAGAGTAAACAAAGTTACAAAGTAAACAAAGTTAAAGAGTAAACAAAGTTACAGAGTAAACAAAGTAAACAAAGTTACAAAGTAAACAAAGTTACAGAGTAAAACAAAGTTACAGAGTAAACAAAGTTACAAAGTTACAAAGTAAACAAAGTTACAGAGTAAACAAAGTTACAGAGTAAACAAAGTTACAAAGTAAACAAAGTTACAGAGTAAACAAAGTAAACAAAGTTACAGAGTAAACAAAGTAAACAAAGTTACAGAGTAAACAAAGTAAACAAAGTTACAGAGTTAGTTACCTCTCTCTGCTCCTCCGTCAGCTGCTGCTCTTCCTCCCTCAGGGACTCATCGTCAAACTCCAACTCCTCCTCCTGCAGCCTGTCTGTCTGCTCCTCCTGCAGCCTGTCTGTCTGCTCCTCCTGCAGCCTGTCTGTCTGCTCCTCCTGCAGCCTGTCTGTCTGCTCCTCCTGCAGCATGTCTGTCTGCTCCTCCTTCTCCTCCTGCAGCCTGTCTGTCTGCTCCTCCTGCAGCCTGTCTGTCTGCTCCTCCTGCAGCCTGTCTGTCTGCTCAACAAACAAACAAAGTAAACAAAGTTACAGAGTAAACAAAGTTACAGAGTAAACAAAGTAAACAAAGTAACAGAGTAAACAAAGTAAACAGAGTAAACAAAGTTACAGAGTAAACAAAGTAAACAAAGTAAACAAAGTAACAGAGTAAACAAAGTAAACAAAGTAACAGAGTAAAAAAAGTTACAGAGTAAACAATGTAAACAAAGTTACAGAGTAAACAAAGTAAACAAAGTTACAAAGTAAACAAAGTTACAGAGTAAACAAAGTAACAAAGTTACAAAGTAAACAAAGTTACAGAGTAAACAAAGTAAACAAAGTTACAGAGTAAACAAAGTAAACAAAGTTACAAAGTTACAAAGTAAACAAAGTTACAGAGTAAACAAAGTAAACAAAGTTACAGAGTAAACAAAGTAACAGAGTAAACAAAGTTACAGAGTAAACAAAGTTACAGATTAAACATAGTTACAAAGTAAACAAAGTTACAAAGTAAACAAAGTTACAGAGTAAACAAAGTTACAAAGTTACAGAGTAAACAAAGTTACAGAGTAAACAAAGTTACAAAGTAAACAAAGTTACAGAGTAAACAAAGTTACAGAGTAAACAAAGTTACAGAGTAAACAAAGTTACAGAGTAAACAAAGTTACAAAGTTACAAAGTAAACAAAGTTACAGAGTAAACAAAGTTACAGAGTAAACAAAGTTACATAGTAAACAAAGTAAACAAAGTTACAAAGTAAACAAAGTTACAGAGTAAACAAAGTAAACAAAGTTACAGAGTAAACAAAGTAAACAAAGTTACAGAGTAAACAAAGTTACAGAGTAAACAAAGTAAACAAAGTTACAAAGTTACAGAGTAAACAAAGTTACAGAGTAAACAAAGTTACAGAGTAAACAAAGTTACAGAACAAAGTTCAGTAGTAACAAGTTACAAAGTAACAAAGTTACAGAGTAAACAAAGTTACAGAGTAAACAAAGTTACAGAGTAAACAAAGTAAACAGTTACAAAGTAAACAAAGTTACAGAGTAAACAAAGTTACAGAGTAAACAAAGTTACAAAGTAAACAAAGTAAACATAGTTACAGAGTAACAAAGTTACAGAGTAAACAAAGTTACAGAGTAAACAAAGTAAACATAGTTACAGAGTAAACAAAGTTACAGAGTAAACAAAGTAAACATAGTTACAGAGTAAACAAAGTTACAGAGTAAACAAAGTTACAGAGTAAACAAAGTAAACATAGTTACAGAGTAAACAAAGTTACAGAGTAAAACAAAGTTACAAAGTTACAGAGTAAACAAAGTAAACAAAGTTACAAAGTAAACATAGTTACAGAGTAAACAAAGTTACAGAGTAAACAAAGTTACAGAGTAAACAAAGTAAACAAAGTTACAAAGTTACAGAGTAAACAAAGTTACAGAGTAAACAAAGTTACAAAGTAAACAAAGTTACAGAGTAAACAAAGTTACAAAGTAAACAAAGTTACAAAGTAAACAAAGTTACAGAGTAAACAAAGTTACAGAGTAAACAAAGTAAACAAAGTTACAGAGTAAACAAAGTTACAAAGTAAACAAAGTTACAGAGTAAACAAAGTTACAAAGTAAACAAAGTAAACATAGTTACAGAGTAAACAAAGTTACAGAGTAAACAAAGTTACAGAGTAAACATAGTTACAGAGTAAACAAAGTTACAGAGTAAACAAAGTAAACATAGTTACAGAGTAAACAAAGTTACAGAGTAAACAAAGTTACAGAGTAAACAAAGTAAACATAGTTACAGAGTAAACAAAGTTACAGAGTAAACAAAGTTACAAAGTTACAGAGTAAACAAAGTAAACAAAGTTACAAAGTAAACATAGTTACAGAGTAAACAAAGTTACAGAGTAAACAAAGTTACAAAGTAAACAAAGTTCGAGTAAACAAAGTTACAGAGTAAACAAAGTAACATAGTTACAGAGTAAACAAAGTTACAGAGTAAACAAAGTAAACATAGTTACAGAGTAAACAAAGTTACAGAGTAAACAAAGTTACAGAGTAAACAAAGTTACAAAGTAAACAAAGTTACAGAGTAAACAAAGTAAACAAAGTTACAGAGTAAACAAAGTTACAAAGTAAACAAAGTTACAGAGTAAACAAAGTTACAGAGTAAACAAAGTTACAGAGTAAACAAAGTTACAGAGTAAACAAAGTTACAAAGTAAACAAAGTAAACAAAGTAAACAAAGTAAACAACGTTACAGAGTAAACAAAGTAAACAAAGTTACAGAGTAAACAAAGTAAACAAAGTTACAGAGTAAACAAAGTTACAAAGTAAACAAAGTTACAGAGTAAACAAAGTTACAGAGTAAACAAAGTAAACAAAGTAAACAAAGTAAAACAAAGTTACAGAGTAAACAAAGTTACAAAGTAAACAAAGTTACAGAGTAAACAAAGTAAACAAAGTTACAGAGTAAACAAAGTAAACAAAGTTACAGAGTAAACAAAGTTACAAAGTAAACAAAGTTACAGAGTAAACAAAGTTACAAAGTAAACAAAGTTACAGAGTAAACAAAGTTACAGAGTAAACAAAGTTACAAAGTAAACAAAGTTACAGAGTAAACAAAGTTACAGAGTAAACAAAGTAAACAAAGTTACAGAGTAAACAAAGTTACAAAGTTACAGAGTAAACAAAGTTACAAAGTAAACAAAGTTACAGAGTAAACAAGTAAACAAAGTTACAAAGTAAACAAAGTTACAGAGTAAACAAAGTTACAGAGTAAACAAAGTTACAGAGTAAACAAAGTAAACAAAGTAAACAAAGTAAACAAAGTTACAAAGTAAACAAAGTAAACAACGTTACATAGTAAACAAAGTAAACAAAGTTACAGAGTAAACAAAGTTACAAAGTAAACAAAGTTACAGAGTAAACAAAGTAAACAAAGTTACAGAGTAAAACAAAGTTACAAAGTAAACAAAGTTACAGAGTAAACAAAGTTACAAAGTAAACAAAGTTACAGAGTAAACAAAGTAACAGAGTAAACAAAGTAAACAAAGTTACAGAGTAAACAAAGTTACAGAGTAAACAAAGTAAACAAAGTAAACAAAGTTACAGAGTAAACAAAGTTACAGAGTAAACAAAGTTAACAAAGTAAACAAAGTTACAGAGTAAACAAAGTAAACAAAGTTACAGAGTAAACAAAGTTACAAAGTAAACAAAGTTACAGAGTAAACAAAGTTACAGAGTAAACAAAGTTACAGAGTAAACAAAGTTACAAAGTAAACAAAGTTACAGAGTAAACAAAGTAAACAAAGTTACAGAGTAAACAAAGTAAACAAAGTTACAGAGTAAACAAAGTTACAGAGTAAACAAAGTAAACAAAGTTACAGAGTAAACAAAGTTACAGAGTAAAACAAAGTAAGTTACAGAGTAACAAAGTTACAAGTAAACAAAGTTACACAGTAAACAAAGTTACAAAGTAAACAAAGTTACAGAGTAAACAAAGTTACAGAGTAACAAAGTAAACAGTTACAGAGATAAACAAGTTACAGAGTAAACAAAGTTACAAAGTAAACAAGTTACAGAGTAAACAAAGTTACAAAGTAAACAAAGTTACAGAGTAAACAAAGTAACAAAGTTACAGAGTAAACAAAGTTACAAAGTAAACAAAGTTACAGAGTAAACAAAGTAAACAAAGTAAACAAAAGTTACAAAGTAAACAAAGTTACAAAGTAAACAAAGTAAACAAAGTTACAGAGTAAACAAAGTTACAGAGTAAACAAAGTAACAAAGTTACAGAGTAAACAAAGTTACAGAGTAAACAAAGTAAACAAAGTTACAGAGTAAACAAAGTAAACAAAGTTACAGAGTTAGTTACCTCTCTCTGCTCCTCCGTCAGCTGCTGCTCTTCCTCCCTCAGGGACTCATCGTCAAACTCCAACTCTCCTCCTGCAGCCTGTCTGTCTGCTCCTCCTGCAGCCTGTCTGTCTGCTCCTCCTGCAGCCTGTCTGTCTGCTCCTCCTGCAGCCTGTCTGTCTGCTCCTCCTGCAGCATGTCTGTCTGCTCCTCCTTCTCCTCCTGCAGCCTGTCTGTCTGCTCCTCCTTCTCCTCCTGCAGCCTGTCTGTCTGCAGCCTGTCTGTCTGCTCCTCCTGCAGCATGTCTGTCTGCTCCTCCTTCTCCTCCTGCAGCCTGTCTGTCTGCAGCCTGTCTGTCTGCTCCTCCTGCAGCCTGTCTGTCTGCTCCTCCTGCAGCCTGTCTGTCTGCTCCTCCTGCAGCCTGTCTGTCTGCAGCCTGTCTCCCTGCTCCTCCTGCAGCCTGTCTGTCTGCAACCTGTCTCCCTGCAGCCTGTCTGTCTGCTCCCCCTGCAGCCTGTCTGTCTGCTCCTCCTTCTCCTCCTGCAGCCTGTCTGTCTGCTCCTCCTTCAGCATGTCTCCCTGCTCCTCCTTCAGCCTGTCTGTCTGCAGCCTGTCTCCCTGCTCCTCCTGCAGCCTGTCTCCCTGCTCCTCCTGCAGCCTGTCTCCCTGCTCCTCCTGCAGCCTGTCTGTCTGCTCCTCTCCTCTTCTCCTCTCTGAAGGCTCCAGAGTCTCCTGGCAGTCGTAGAAACCTTCTTCCTCCTCCTCCTCTTCCTCCTCTTCCTCCTCCTCCTCCTCCTCTCTGGGTGCAGCTGCTCCTCTGTTCATGTTGGAGCTCTGCAGCGGTTAGCAATAACAGTTAGCGGTTAGCAATAACAGTTAGCGGTTAGCATTAGCAGTTAGCGGTTAGCATTAGCAGTTTTCACAGACAGTTTGTTTCAGAAAAGTTCCTCAAATATGAAATACATGAATCAGCACTTAACTACTTCAATAAACCAGAAAGTCTGAGTCTCTGCTGGAGTGTCAAAGTGATCTCTGGTATATATCTATATCTATATCTATCTATAGATATATAGATAGGGTTAGCTCCTTGGCTCTGTGGCTCTTTCTGCTGGAGCATGTGAAGCTCCCCTCTGTGGGACGAAGGTGTTCTGACGGATTCATCAGATGTTTTATATATTATTTATATTTCTTTCCATGTGTCTTTAATGAGCTCAGATATAATATCTGAGCTCATTAGCTCATTAGAGCTAACACTCAGCCTGCTGCTAAGCTAACTGCTAACAGCTGAGCCAACACACACTTCCTGTAGGCACGCTCTGAAACGTCTGCTACGTCACACATCAATGTATTCAATCATACCGAGAAATATATCAATACAAATAGAGTTATTCCTCTCGTGTCTCACCTGCTAACTCCTGCTAACAGCTGTTAGCCTGCTCACCGTGACGCGCTTCTTCTTCGGTGGTTTGAGGTGTGTCGCGGCTCGTTTCCGCCCCCTGCTGTTCAGAAACCTCCTTCGTGTCTTTGACTACCTGATTTGCACTGCGCACGCGCGAGTTGGTCCGCCATAAATTTAGAAACGATATCTTTAAAAAGTGTGTTGCTTTGTGATCGCATCTGTAAGATAATGAAGTCAGTGAGAAGAGTCTCAGTGATCTGGCCCTAAAGCTGGGAGAGACCTTCCAGCTTGAGCAAAGATTATAAGCAGGGTGCAGTCTCCATGTTCTCCATTTGAATCCCATTTCTTGCCTTTCTACAAATATATCAGGGACTATGGTGTTAACAAATCCAAGACACATTTGTAATGTATATAATGAGTGTGCCAACTAATAACTTTAATATGGGGTGGACCTCCCCTCCTCTGGGGAGAACTTTTTAAATATTGAAGTTAACTGCATGAACCTGGTGCACTTTGAGCACATTCAGAGATCTACGGATGCAGCTCTCGACCCTCATATGAAACAGAACTGTATTTCGATAATCAACAAATCATTAGAATATGATCACATCCAATAACAAATAGTTTAAACTTTTATTTTATAAAGTCCTCTCTCCTATCTTTATCTTATCTTATGTTACCTAGTCTGCATTCTTTCTTTGTATGTATGCATGTTTTACTAATCACTTAAACTTTATTATTATTATTTTTTTACTGTCCTATAGTACACATTGGAATGATTTCTTAACTTGTGTTTTACAAATATATTAAATAGATAAAGGTGTGCCTTGGAAATATGTGTTTACTGAGCTGTAGTTATCAGAGCCTCTCAGTCTGAGCTGTAGTTATCAGCCTCTCAGTCTGAGCTGTAGTTATCAGAGCCTCTCAGTCTGAGCTGTAGTTATCAGAGCCTCTCAGTCTGAGCTGTAGTTATCTGAGCCTCTCAGTCTGAGCTGTTGTTATCAGAGCCTCTCAGTCTGAGCTGTAGTTACCAGAGCCTCTCAGTCTGAGCTGTAGTTATCAGAGCCTCTCAGTCGGAGCTGTAGTTATCAGAGCCTCTCAGTCTGAGCTGTAGTTATCAGCCTCTCAGTCTGAGCTGTAGTTATCTCTCAGTCTGAGCTGTAGTTATCTGAGCCTCTCAGTCTGAGCTGTAGTTATCAGCCTCTCAGTCTGAGCTGTAGTTATCTCTCAGTTTGAACTGTAGTTATCTCTCAGTCTGAGCTGTAGTTATCTCTCAGTCTGAGCTGTAGTTATCTTTCAGTCTGAGCTGTTATCTCTCAGTCTGAGCTGTAGTTATCTCTCAGTCTGAGCTGTAGTTATCTCTCAGTCTGAGCTGTAGTGTTCAGTGAGGCCTGGGCCAACCATCCCATCAGGACAGAGCAAAATCTGACACCCAATCAGTTGTGGCAGGTGGGCCAGCACCTGAATCCTGTTGCAGATCCTGAGCCTGAGGTAAATTATGAATTTTCAAAACCATCACTATCTCTTGTTTAGTATCAATCAATAAAAACCCAAACAATATAATAAGTTATCTGATTCATAATCTAACTCCCCTTCTTGGATTAAAAAAGCCTCTGCTGGGTGCAAGCAAGAACACTTTTCTATAATATGACACTATTACCTTAACATTATTCCACAATCACTCAATTTTTTATTATTATAGAACAATTGCATACCCTCTTTATTTCACCTGATCACATATTTTGTAATAAGAAGCAGTAATGGCACAGTGCTTGCTTTAATATTTGTACACGCACTTTGTCTTTTTTAGGGTTTACTCATACCAGAGATTTAATGGGAAGAGAGTGGATACACAAATGAGCATCATACCGGGGTCAATGTCCACGACAGTGCTTTCAGGGAGGAGAGCTCCAGAGGCTCAAATGGTTCTGTGACCAGAGCTTCGAGCACCAGCGGCAGGTCCCACTGGACCTGCCGCTGGTGCCGCTTATATCTGCCGCTTATATCAACAGGCAGGACTCCGCCCTGCCTGTTGATATAAGCCACTGTGGTGCTGTTGTCGCTCCTGACCATTACATGTCTCACTTGAATTAGGGGCATGAAATGCTGGAGAACTAACACTACCGCCCGTAGCTCTAGGAGGTTGCTGTGTCGAGACTCTGTTAGAGCCCAGCGCCCACCTATAGCCCTCTTCAGGCAGGTCGCTCCCCATCCTGTTCTGGATGCGTGTGTGAACACTGTGATGTAGGAGGTTACCCATCCCAGTGGAGACCCCCTCCGGAGGTGACCCGGGGGACCCCCAGAACCGGAGGGGGGGATGGTCACCAGCCGCCGTTTGTGCCTCTTGGGATCCAAACGCAGGCTGGAGAACCACCTCTGCAGGCGGCACATATGCAGTAACCCCAGCGGGACCACAACGCTGCCATGAGACCCAGAGTCTGCATGACAGTTAAAGCTGTCACTGTTGCCCCCTGTCGCAGCCTCTGCACCGCCCAGAGAAGGGACGCACTTCTGCTCTCTGACAGGGTGGCGCAAAGCCTAATTTGGTTAGGTGTGTGATCAATCGTGCTGTGCAAAGCATTACCTGTTCCCGGGACCCAGCCATGACTATGAGGTTGTCTAGGTAAAAGAAAACTCTCATGCCGTGGGCGCGCAGCGGTTGATTGATTGATTGATTGAAAAGTTTATTAACAGCTTGTATATTGGGTACAGTACAGTACAGCTCAAAACATACAATTGTTAAGGGGATGCAGACCAGAGAAAGACTTTCGTCTTCTTTACATCAGGGTCCCCCATTTCCAATTCATCATATCATTTAAGACATATAAGACATATTTGACATACAGATGACTTATTTACAATTTACATACAGGTGGTTTTTTACATACAGATGGTTTATTTACAATTTTCATTTTAGATTTCGTTCTAATACATCCTAACCGGACATTTAAGACATACCAAGTCTACAGATATACAGTTAGTAACAGAGTCTAAAATGCGAGTATATACATAGATGGGGGGGGGAAGCTGTCCATTGTACGACAGGTTGAGATTTGTACCATTACCGGGGCCAGTTTTGCAATGCTCTCCCCCGAAGGTGCTCTTTAAGAGAGGTTTTGAAGGTAAGTATAGTTTTACTTTCCTTTACAGTTGTGGGAAGAGCGTTCCACCTTGATGTGGCATAATTGCGAAACATGTATTCCCCCTTTTTTGTGCCAAATCTGGGTTTTACATGATTTGTGGAGCTCCCTCTGGTGTTATGATCATGGTATTCCTTGACCTTTGGGAAGAATTTTGACATGTACATGGGTACCATAGAGGTGTAGTGGATCTTGTAGACCAGGCCCATTGCAAGTAGCTGTACTCTGTCGTCTACTCTAGCCATCCTAGGTTGTCAAAGTGGGCAGAGGTGAGGTGGGTTCTAGATGAAAGGTCAAGCAGTAGTCTGACCAGTTTATTTTGTGATGTTTGAAGTTTTATTTTTAGCGCCTTGGAGGTGCTATGGTACCATGACGTGCAAGCATAGTCATAGTACCCTTGAATGAGTGCTCCTGCCAGAGTTTTCAGGGTGCTTTTGTTTACCAGAGAGGAGATCCGGTATAGGAATCTAGTTCTTTGATTGACTTTTTTTATTACATTGGATGCCATTTTGTCACAGGAGAGGTTTGCCTCAAGAATAGATCCTAGGTATGTAATTTACTTCTTACTAGTGACAATAATGTCACCGACTGCAACTGAGAAGTCGTCGGATTTGCTGAGATCATGTTTCGAACCGAAGAGAATGGACTCTGTTTTACCCAGGTGTAATGATAATTTATTATCGGCGAGCCAGGTGCAGATTCTGCCGAGCTCGGAGCTGAGGGTTTTTTCAACCTGCAATCTGCTCCTGTCAGAGACCAGCAGGGCTGAGTCGTCCGCGAACAGGAACAAGTTGCAGTCACATGCTGATGACATGTCATTTGCATAAATTAGGAACAGTAACGGACCTAATATGCTTCCTTGTGGAACACCACAGCTCACTGGGAGGGGGGGGGACAGAGTACCGTTTACCTCCACCATCTGTTCTCTCCCCTCCAGGTAGGATTGCATCCAGCTCACCGATAGTTTATCAAAACCAATTGCTTTTAGCTTGTCAATCAGAATGGGGTGATTGACAGTGTCGAAAGCCTTTTGTAGGTCCAGCATCACCATGCCGCAGTATTTACCCTCGTCCACCTCTTGTTTGATGTGGTCGTTCAAATAAAGAAGGCATGTGTCAGTGGAGTGGGATGTTCTAAAGCCAGATTGAAATTCATAGATTAGTTTCTTTTCCGCGAGGTACTTTTCGACCTGTTCATATACTATTTTTTCCATGACTTTCGAGATGGAGGTAAGTATAGAAACAGGGCGGTAGTTGCCTGGGTCCAATTTGCTGCCCTTTTTGTGCAGGGGGG